CCGGGGAAGTGAAAAGAAGTTAAATTAACCACAGTTTCTACCATCTATTGCGCTTAGTCTGGTAGGTTTGGGTTCAGACCCAAGGCAGTAGAAAGGCACTAAGTCCTTTCAAAAATAGAATGCTAAAAGAATTTTTTTTTTAAAAAAAGAGTCCAGGGGAGGAAAAGTTGAGAGCTGAGCAAACACCGTTGATGAGCAACAGTTGTGTGCTATGAACTGTGAATTTGTACTCTGATTTGGGACAAAAAAGCAAGGTTTAGTAATTAGTGCCTCGGATTTGTTTTCCATTAGGCAACCTCAGAGTTCGAAGGTGCCTTTAGTTTTATGCCATCAGGACACTGGTTCTAGGACTGGCTGGATGCTAATTTGCTCTTTGATTTGGGACATAAAAATTAGGCTTGCAAATGAGCGCTCCAGATTTGTTATTCCTTTAAGCAGCAATTGGGCTCCCCGGAACAGAGAGCGGCCTTCACTGAGCTCCGATCTCGCTTTCTCTGCTAGTATTCTGCTGCAGGCCAGACCAGGATCTGGGCACTGCCCCTTTAAAGCAGCCTAGAAGACGTCAGGGGTCTCTCCCGGCTGCGGAGCGGGGGCGGAGCGTCCAGCACAAGGGCTTCTACGTAGCCGGGGACGCCTCTGCGTCACAGCGCCCATAGCCAATCAGGGTGGATCCTGGCGGGACGCATTACTAAGGCGACGGGCTGGACGCCTCCCCGTTTCGGGATGAATTAGCGGCGGGTTCTGCTCGGAGGTTGTGACCCCCGTGGAGTCGCAGTCTCTCTCCGGTGTCCCCGCGACGTTGCGCGGTTTCCCCGGTGTGTCCCAGGTTCACGGCCCGCGGCGTCAGGTGCGGGTTTGGGCGCGGGGAACATGGCGGCGACCAGGGGATTCCCCGAGTGGGCGGAGGGGGAGCTGCGGCGTGGCCGCTTTTTCTGAGCGCTCGCTTCCTCCGGTGGGCCCCGAGGGACGGCCACTCGCGGGAGTTGGGGGAGGGTTAGAGCGAGCGACTCGAGAGAGGCGGAGGCCTCCGGAGCCGAGCAGGTTGTGGGACAAGGGTCGCCTTGTGCCTCGTCAGTGCTCAGGGACAAGTACCTTTTCGTCCACGCCACACCTTGGTGGCCCCGGGAGCTGTTGGGTCCCCAGACACCGCCTAAGGTGTGCCAGGGGCCAGATCCCAGGTGCACAAAGCTGGGATATCCCACGTGGGATACCCACAGGAAAGCTGTCCAAGGCTCAAGCCGGCTGTTTGCTGCGGGTGCGAGAGGTGTGCACTAGGTCTAGGTAGCAGTGCCACAGAAGGAAAGGTAGGCCACGTTAGAGGCTGACGTCTAGGTTGACTGATTTTTCTGTCCGTTTTTTGAGACATGCTCTTGCTAAGGGCTAGCCTTCCAACTCGTCGTCCTTATCTCTGTATTGTACCTTATAATTGGTGCGAAAGTAGGCGTGGTACCTGGCAGGTTCTGTCTTTCAGGTTGTATCTTAACATCTAAAATTATATTTGATCAGAAGCAATAAAGACGAAAGGTGTTTTCTTGTGGTTGTGGAACTGTTTGGTTTTCTCGACCTTTCCTGAAGGATTAGTTGCCTTTGAAGTTCACGTTCTGTCTTCGGTGCGCTTTGAATGGATGTAGACAAATCTGAGTTTTGCAATTCAGTTTAAGGCCCGGAAAAGTGTTGAAGGAATATCGGCGAAGGAATTACCAAGATAAATGCTTTTCATTCACATCCTCATGTATTTTGGCAAAGAAACATCTTGTCATAAAAAGTTTTAAGTAGTTGGACTATCTAAAAAACTACTATTTTAGCCAGGTGGTGGTGATGCACCACGCTTTTAATCCCGGAACTTGGGAGGCAGAGGCAGGCAGATCTCTGTGAGTTCAAGGCTAGCCTGGTCTACAGAGCAAGTTCCAGGACAGGCTCCAAAGCTACACAGAGAAACCCTGTCTTGAAAAACCAAACCCAACCGACCAACCAACCAGAAACAACAACAACAGCAACAAAACTATTTTGATTAGTGACTTTGCAAAATTTGTGTATTTAAAAATGTTATTTTTATTTGCCTATTTGAGACTGGTGAGTTTATATGCATCATGCAATGTGGAAACCTCCTGGAGCTGGAATTACAGATGTTTTTGAGTCACCTAATGTGGGTGTTGGGAACTCAACCCTGACCCCCTAAAAGAGCAGTAAGTGCTCTTAAGCATTGAACTTCAGCCCATAAACTTGTGCATTTTTGAATTACTAAAAGAATTGAAAAGTCATAGGCGCACTTGACTTCAGTCCTCAATAGCTACTGTCTCAGGAGTGCCCAGGGTATATCTGACACTGTGATTTCCACATAACTTCTACCTTAAGTTGAACAAATGTTGGGGGTTGCTCTTTTCCCACCAGGTGTGAAGACTGGCTGCTGCAGATGGCAGGAGGGGAACTTTTCTACACTGAATCTGCGGAGATAGGATCAGTTTGGCCTGGTGTTGAGGTTATATGTAGTGATAACTAGGTTACTTCTTAAAATACGGTAATTATATAACTTCTGTGGGGTGTTTTTTCTCTGAGTGGACAGTTCTTGGCCAAGCAGTCTTCATTAAGGTTTTGTAAGGGGGCGGGGCAATGCATCTAAAAGACTTACAAACAGTGGTAAGAATTGACGTGTATTAGTATGCTCTACTCTACCTGGTGGTGTATCAAGGGCCTTGTGTCCACTCAACCGTTCAACGCCAGTATAAAGTGGTTACATCAACAGATGAGGAAACTGGAGCAAATGACATCGTTTGTCCTAAACCATTCAGCTAGCTTTGTGAGTCCAGCTTGTGGCCACCCACATCTGTCTGTTTTTTTTCCTGTCCTGGGGATTGAATGCAGAGGCTTGCATATGCTAAACAAGTGTTCCATCACTGAACTATTCCCAGCCCCTTTTTATTTTGAGACAGGGTCTCATTGAGTTGCCAAGATTAGCCTTGAACTCATTCTGGAGCCTAGGAAGGACTTGAACTTGTGATCTTCTTTCTGCTTCAGCCCTCTGAATAGCTGAAATCCCAGTCCTGCACCACAAGGCTGGCTCCTGTGTTCTTCCATACCTTCACTATATGCATCCAGGTGTATCATGTGCTAAGGGGAATATGTGAGCTGAGTTTTCAGGGTCTTTTACTTGTATAAACAATTATGATTCATTTTTTTGGCGTCCTTCATTGTTTGTGTGGCAGTGGCTACAATTACTTTGGTTATGTAGTATATTAATTTCACTTTTTTTGTTTATTTCCTGAGACAGGGTTTCTATATGAAACAGCCCCCTGGCTGTCCTGGAACTTGCTTTGTAGACCAGGCTGGCCTCAAACTCATAGACATCTGCCTGCTTCTGCCTCCCAAGTGCTGGTATCAAAGGTGTGTGCCACCACCGCCCTGCTTACTTTGTTTTTAAGACATCAATCTAGTCTGTAGGACAGGGTGATTTGATCTGTAATCATGATGGCTTCAAATACGCAGTTATAGCCACTCAGCCTTCTGAGTGTGAGGGCTCTTGCTCAGCTTTGATGTCCAATATGTTTAAAAACTATTTTATTTTATTTTAAAGATTTATTTATTTATTATGTATACAGTATTGTGCTTACATATATCCTATAGGCCAATAGAGGGCATCAGATCTCATTACAGATGGTTGTGAGCCATCATGTGGTTGCTGGGAATTGAACTCAGGACCTTTGGAAGAACAGTCAGTGCTCTTAACCTCTGAGCCACCTCTCTAGCCCATTAAAAACTATTTTAAAGCAGAGTTGTAACTAATACCTACCAGGAAACACAAGTTCATAGTTTTAATTTTTATTCGATTGTTTGTGTTTGCATATGTGTGTAGGGTGTGGCATGCACATGTTCATGTAAAGGCTTTATTTTTTGAGAAAAGGGTCTCACTGAATATGATGCTTATTGATTGAGTAGACTGGCATCCTCTTGTTGCTTGGATTACATACATGCACATGCTGCTAGACCTGGGATTTTACTTGGGTGCTGGGGCTCTGAATTCAGGTCCTCATGCTTGTGTAGCAAGCACTTTACCCATTGAGCCATCTTCCCAACTCTGGTTAAGTTCTTTGAGAGAATACTTTGATGGATGAATTTAAAAACAAACAGACTGGGTTTTAGTACAACTCATTGCTAAACAATAAGCTAATAATTTTCTTAGTCTTTTTTATTTCTGTTTTTGATTTTTTTTTCCCCCTTGAGTCAGGGTTTCTCTGTGTAGCTCTGGCTACTGGTTGTCCTATGTAGACCAGGCTTGCTTTGAATTCACAGAGATCTGCCTGCCTCTGCCTCCTGAGTGCTGGGATATTTTCTCAGTCTTTATAGGAAAAAAATGACATAAAAGTGGCTGTGATTTCATTGTTTCATAACTCTATCTGGAATCTTTCTGTCTCCTTGGAAAATTAATTCCTCATCTAATCCTTGAGGTCAAAGAGAGGCCCAAGTCCAATCTGAAGATGTGGGGAAGGAATAGATGATTAACTTACAGTGTGCTAAACTCTCAGATGTAGCGGTGATAGGCACAGAGAACTCTGGGAGCATGTGCTGGGATGGACCTAGCTAAGTGAGGAGAGAAGCTAAGCAGAGCACGAGGGAGACCAGCCTCCAGAAGTGAATAGGCAGGAACGCTGTCATGGCCGGATGAATGAGAGTGTGTGTATCCTTTCAGGGAGAGATACAGGAAGAGGTAGGTCCAGGCTGAGAATTCTTGGCTAAGACTGATTTTATGCTCCTAGCAGTATGGATTTTACAAGGACTTTCAGTCTAGAGCTAAACTAGACTTGCACTTTTCTGTCAACTGGCCAGCTGGAGTTGCTGGGAAGAGGAACCTCAGCTGAGAAAATACCTCCATCACATGGCCTGTAGGCAAATCTCTAGGTCCCAGTCTTGATTAATGATTGATGTGGAAGGGCCCAGCCTGCTTGAGAGTGGTGTTTTCCCTGGGCAGATGGTCTTCCTGAGTTGGATAAGAAAGCAAGCTGAACAAGCCATGGGAAGCAAGCCAATTAGCAGCGTTTCTCCTCGGCCTCTGCTTTGGTTCTTGCCTCTAGGTCTCTGCCTTGGTCTCCTGCCCTGACTTTCCTCAGTGACGTACTGTGACAGAGTTGTAAGTTGAAATGAACCCTTTCTTCCCTAATTGGTTTTGGTCATGTTTTATGGTGGCAGTAGAAATCTTAACTAAGACATGGAGTGAAATGATCGGCTTTCTGTTCTGCTTCTTTGTTTATTTGTTGGGTGTTTTTGAGGCATGGTCTCACTATAGCTCAGGCTGGCCTGGACCTTGCTATGTAGCTGGCTTCAAGCACAAGGTTATCCTCCTGCCTCAACACTATCAAGTGCTGGGATTACAGGCTAACATGAGGTGCTACACCTCATTATGTTCTGGAGAGGTGTCTTTGGTAACAGAATGTAAAGAAGAAACCAGTTAAGTATCATTTCATAATCCAGGCTTGGTGGTTTAGGCTGAATGGTGTTTCGGCTTGATAGTGTAGAGACTGAACAGTGTATAGACTGTATGGTGTATATATATATATATATATATATATATATATATATACACACACACACACACATAGGCTGTATGCTGTATATATAGGCTGTATGGTATATAGGCTGGACGGTGTATATATAGACTGGACAGTGTATATGGTGTATATATATAGGCTGGATGGTGTATAGGCTGGAAAATTGAATATTGCTAGGAGAATGGGTATTAGGTTTTCTTCCTTCCTTCTTTCCTTCCTTCCTTCCTTCCTTCCTTCCTTCCTTCCTTCCTTCCTTCCTTCCTTCCTCCCTCCCTCCCTCCCTCCCTCCCTCCCTCTCTCCCTCCCTTCCTTGGAGAATGGGTTTTAGGTTGTCTCCCTCTGTCCCTCCCTCTGTCCCTCCCTCCGTCCGTCCCTCCCTCCCTCCCTCTGTCCCTCCCTCTCTTCTTTTTTTTTGAAACAGAGTTTCTCTGTTTAGCCTGGAATGTCCTAGGGCTAGCTCTGTAGACCAGGCTGGCCTCGAACTCAGAGATTCGCCTGCCTCTGCCCCCAAAGTGCTGGGATTAAAGGTGTGCACCACCATCCCGTTGAATATTTTTCTTATATTAGGTTTTTGTTGTTATTTTGAGACCAGGTCTCATGTAGGCCAGGCTGGTTCTGAATTCTCTTTGTAGCTGAAGCTGATCTTAAACCGCTGATCCTTTGCCTCCAGCTTTCAAATGATGGGATTATAGATGCATACTTCCACCCCCAGCTTATTTTGAGTACTTATATATTTGCACAGCAGTGATTTCAATGTGGAAACAGCCACTGATGAAATGAGGCGGTGTAGAAGGAGCGGTGGGCCACTTCCCGCCGCCCGCCTCCCAGCTAGCTTTACCCCTGAAATAATTACACGGAAACTTTTTTTTTATTCATTTAAGCACTGCCTGGCCCATTATCTGTAGCCTCTTTTTGGCTAACTCTTACATATTGATCTAACCCATTTTTAATAATGTATGTAGCACCACGAGGTGGTGGCTTACCAGGAGGATTCTAACCTGCGTCTGTCTTGGAGAGGAGAGTCGTGGCGACTGCCTGCCTCTGCTTTCTTTCTCACACGATTCTGTTCTGTCTACTCCACCAACCTAAGGGCTGGCCTATCAAAAAGGCCAAGGCAGTCTCTTTATTAACCAATGAAAGTAACATGACCTTTCTCCATCAAGGTGGTTGTAAATGGATCATGCAGATGTTTATAGCACTACAATTATTCAGTGCCAACAGTACCACAGTGCGGGGGCCTGGGATTAGTTAGGGTGAAAGTGCGAACTTGCCACGGTTTGAGGATCCTGTTTCTTTTGAGCATGCTGCAGAACCTTTCAATCATAAACAGAAATCAGTACTTGCAGATAGATTAAACAGATTTATTTGAATGATTTAGAAAGCAATGATTTTATAAAAGTTGATCCTTTAGTGTGTAGTTGCTGATGTAGACCAGTGGGAACTCATGTTGATGGGAGTGTGACATGGTTCGTACAATCACTTTGACATGTGTGGCTTTGTCACTCCTATCTGAGGTGCTTTGGTCATAGTGTTCATGGTGCTGTGTTTTTTTTTTTTCCAACAATAGTAACCTTACCTAGGATAGGGAGAAAAGATGGAAAGTAGGGGTAGCTGAAACACTTTTTCTTTTTAGCTCCTCCCTTAGAGTCAGGGCCCTGCTACCCAACTCAATCTAACCTTGAATTATGCTGAGTCGTGCAGGCTGGTCTTGAATTCCTGGTCCTCCGGACTGTGCTTACTTTGTGCTGATTGCGGTGTCCAGTCTATGTTCTTCACTTCTGTGCCTGCATGCCTGTTTTACCTCAGTGAAAATTTAAAATATATGGTACTCTTGTGGCTTTATTTTGAAGGGCTTGCTTGAACAAAAATAATTTATGCCCAAAGTTTCTGAAGATCCATGTGAAATATACCTTTCTGTGATTGTTTAGAGCCATTCTTTCTGTGATGTGGGATTTTTAAATGAAATCTCTCTTCTGCCTTTTGTGTTCTACTGCAGTTTTTATTTTGTTTATTGGACAGTCTTAATGCTTCATTATATAATTTTGAAATTTAGTAAAACTACATACTCCCCCCACTTCTGATCGTGTCTCTATGTGACTAGGCAGGCCTTTGATCCAAGGTGTCTCATCCTCACTAGTGTTGAGAGTGCATTGTGAGCCACCACACCTGCCTAACACTGAAGTTGTTCAGTAAGGTCAGTTGATTAAGGAAAAAGTGTTTGTGTGGTGATACTTAATTTGTGATCTAACAAATAAAGCTTGCCTGAAGATCATAGTGCAGAGCTAAGCCACTAGTTAACTACAGAGGCCAGGCAGTGGTGACACACACCTTTAATCTCAGTCCTTGGGAGTCGTGTGCCTCTAATCCCAACACTAGGGCTGTGGAGACAGGAAGGATATGACTTGGTGGAGAGAGGAATATAAGGTGGGAGGAGACAGGAGCTCATGGCATTCAGTCTGAGGACTTGTAGAGACAGGATAGCCCTTTCAGTCTGAAGATTCCATGGAGGTAAGAACTTTAGTGACTGGCTGCTTTACTTCTCTGTCTTTCAACTTTTACCCCCAATATCTGACTCTAGATTTTTATTAAGACTAGTTAGAATTCACAGTACATGTTTGTTTTGTTCTCTTGCAGGGGGGATTGGGAACAGGGCTCAAGTACAAAAGGCCAGGTCTTTGTCACTAGCTTTACTTACGGTAGTAATGACAGCAGCATGGTTTAACTTCTCTTTCCTTCCGAGGCTAGATATACTGGGAATTAGATGTCCTCTTTCTACTGGGATAAAGAGTTCTTGTCTATTGAAGGTACTAGTTGTCCTTGGAACTGAGTCTTCATTCATTTCAGGTGTTCCCAAAGTTATATTTATTTATTCCTTTTTGAATCTAGAGTTTTGTGAGGGAGTCCTATATTCTTACTTTGAATTAAGAATGCTTAATGTCTGATTCTGTCTTTGGGGACTATTCTTAAGACTTCTCAGGGTCTTTCCACCCACTGGTAGTTACTAGGCATTTCTAGATTGTTAGCTGTTTACATTAGTTTCCTACAGCTGTTGCACTAAATCACTACAAACATGTTGTGGAGACAAGCACTCCGAAATGTTGTTAGTCAGCCAAGATCAAGAGTAACAGAGCTGTGGCACCTCAGAGGCTCCAGAGGATCATCCTTCTTGGCCTCACAGCCTGTGGTGACTGCTGGCATTCCTCTTCATGGTATGAACACTCCAGCGCTTGTCTGTATAGCATAGCTGTATGTGATTGTATTCAGGACCTTCCTCAATAATTGAAAATAACCCACTCATTGTAAAGTACTTAATATAACCACATTTACAGAATCTTTTTTCTTTCTTTCTAGATAGTATTTATAGTTTTCAGAGATTAGGATGTGCTATGTTTATGCATCTTAAATTAGCATATATTAATTGTATAAAATAACAAATTGAATGTTGAGGTTTTCATACATGCTGTATAGTTAGTTACTTGTCATCTTGTGACAAAATAGCTGAAAAGAGCAACTTAGGGGAGGAAGAGGTTATTTTGGCTCACAGATATCAGGATACAGTTCGTCACGGCATGGAAAGCCAGTGACAGGAGTGGGAGGCATCTGGTTACATTGTATCACAGTCCAGAAGGAGACAGTGCATACTGGAACTCACCCTGCTTTATCCTTTCTATTCAGTCCAGCATCCCTGCCTACTGAATAGTGCTGTCTGCAGTGAGGTGGGCATCCCATCTCAGTTAACCCATTCTAGGTAAGATGGTGCCTGCCGTTTGTAGTGAGGTGGGCCTTCCATCTCAGTTAACCCATTCTAGGTAAGATGGTGCCATCTGCAGTGAGGTGGGCATTCCGTCTCGGTTAATTCATTCTAGGTAATCCCTCAGATCCATGTCCAGAGTCTTGTTTCCTACATGATTCTGGATCCTGTCAGGTTAGCAGTATTTATTAACCATCACACGGCTGGTTTCACAGGAGAAATTCTCTACTCTGTGATCAATGTTTTCTTTCCAGTATCTTCTTCAGTAGATTTCTTCAGTGTTTTCAAATTGTATGGGAGAGTGTTTTATGTCTTTGGTAGGTTTATACTTAGAATTTTCCTGCTTGAGATTGTTGTAAGTGAAATTATTTTCCTGATTCCTTTCTCAGTGATATTATTATTATTATTATTATTATTATTATTAATTATTATTTCTTTTTGAGGAAGGTTTTGTCTGTGTAGCCCTGGCTATCCTGGAACTCATTCTGTAGACCAGGCTGGCCTTGAACTCAGATCTGCATGCCTCTGCCTCTTTACTCCCCTGAGTTTTTTTTTTATTGGTAAATGAAAAACTATTGATTCTTGTGTGATTTTGTATCTTATTAGAAAGGTTTATTATTATTGCTTGTCTTATGGAATCTTTAGGGTTTCTCAATTATAAGATCATATTTGCAAGTAGAGATAGTTCAGCTTCTTTTTATGTGTGTTTTCTTTGTTTCTTTTTTTTGCCTTATTTCTCTGACTATGATCTCAAACATTATATTGAATAAAAGTGAGAATGGATACTCTTAGGATGTGAATTTACTTTGGCATTCGTTCAGTCAGCCATAG